TAACGTGGCTGAACCGGTATTCCAAAGCGAATTACTCGCTTCAAGACCAACTTCTGTCAGAGCAAGTTGGGCAGTTATACCGGTGGAAGCCTCGCTTCTGCAACATCAAAATCTCTTCGACCCCACTTTGGGCGAACGATTTGATCAATTTCCAAGCAAGAGCTACATGTGTTCAGATTTGCTGGGACCAAAAAATTTTGTCTCCATTATGCTGAGATCGAACATCCGTGTAGATATTCCGAATTTAAAAGACTGAGGCAGTCCCCTTTAGAATCGAAGATGCAGAGCCGCTTCGGGTCCTTATAGTCTTGATTGTGGCGACACCCTTAGCTTAAAGGCAGCGTCCAGGCAGATCTGGACCTATGGGGATTTTACGTGGAAAGCACTTTTGGGGCCCTAACTAAGGCACTGCCCAAGCGGCAGCGCAGGTAGTGCTCTAACGGCTGAAATACTCCCCTCGAAACTAGACCCCGCGATCGTATTCGCATGGATTCATGGCAGTTTCGTGCCAGGATCCACGCTTTGCGCCATGAATCCATGCGAATTACGATCGCGGGGCCCAGTTTCGAGGGGAATATTTCAGCCTTTAGAGCACTACCTGAGCTGCCGGTTGGGCAGTGGCTTAGTTAGGACCCCAAAATTACTATCTACGTGAGACCCCATGTGCCCAAACTTGCCTGGACGCTGCCTTTAAGAGGCACACCATAGATAGGCAGAGCGGCCTGACCTGTTGACCTCCTATAGATGTCAAAGCTCATCACTTTTAATTTTGAACTCCAAGCAGCACCGCCGCATAGAATAAGCAAGCTTATCAAAAATATCTGCCCAGCAATGGGTAAGAAGACTGTCACTGGATCCAGGATAGCCTGACGGTCCCAATTCTTTGAAATACTGGGTTGATTCATAAATAATGCACATTTTCTAAGCTTTAACTTTGAATCAAAGTAATTTTTTTCCGATATCATGCTTTTGACTGTGACAAAAATTGATGCAAACAAGAAATTATCAGCTATACATTGCATACTTTGGTATACCTGTAGACACCAATCAAAAGATCTTAGGGACCAGAAAACTGCAGAAATTTCTCTTTGAAAAGCTCCAGTTTGAGAGGGCATAACTTACTCTAAAACTACTAAGGTGGTGCAAACTTTGCTCAGTGTATAGCAGATGGATGGGTGAGTAGTAGTAAAAACTTCAAATTTACGGAAATTCTCTGCGAAAAATATGGCCAAAAAAATCGAAAGTAGCCACTTTTTTCTGCATTTTAACGAAGGCAAAAAACTGTTTTTCGAGATTCTCTAATTCTTCCTTCTTTGAGAAAGAGGAAATCTTGCCGCTTTCTCACCATTAGTTGTACTAGGTCCACTCTATCTGTGCAGAGCGAAAGTTCTGCAATAGCTTCCTGCACAAGCTTTCTATATAGTGTAGAATGGTCTTACAATTAGCAAACAGCCAAGATTGAGCCAAAGCTTCTCATCTTAAAATTATCAAATTTTTGCCATGGTAAGAAGTCTGCAGCATGAAACATTCCGATTACAATACGCGTTTTTCGAAGAAAAATTGATAGTTTTTCGTGGACCTAGAGTAAATAAAATGAAAGAAAAGAACTTTAAGTTTTAGTCTCTTCTCTTTGAAAGCATGAAGCATCAGTTTGAACAAAGACTTCCAATGACGAATGCGTGTATAAGAAAATAGAAAAAGCGGCTTTCAAACACCATAAAAAGTTTAGAAGAGAAACGGTTCTATTCGAGAAGCAGTTTCGAAAAATGAAGTAAGAAAAACGCGCATTAATTATGAACCAATCTAATAGAAGAGATGGCACGACGTATTAGAAGACATATTATTAGGTCGTTCCATAAGTTCGTAGCGTTTTTATGAACCGATAAAATCATCAATTTACAGTAAAAATCAATCAGAATTATAATCCTCGTTGTAGCGCACGGCCTTTTGTGTTAGCTTCGCAATCTGAATTTTTCAAACGGCAGAGCGCCGGGCCACAAAAACGTCATCTAATCAGCGCTCAAACTACTTACTGAAATCGAGACATGCACCATTTATGATGTTTGCTAGAGAGCGGAGCAAATGATAATCTAATAGAGCGAGATTCGGAGAGTAATTTGGGTACTGAAGTATCTTCTAGTCAAGTCGCGTGGGACAGCTTGACGACGTTTGTCGTATGAGGCTATGTTTCGTCATGCAGAAAAACCCACTGAACCTGTCTGTAAAGCTTTTTCTGCGATACCTGGTTTAAACGTCAGTTGGATTGCTTACGGTATGGTCAACCCTCGCCTACCCAGCAATTTTCAGTGCAGGATGTCCCCAAAAAATCTTGTTCAGGGACACAGCCCCTGATCTTTTGTAGCAATCCAATCTTTTCTTGTCTCATATTGATGTGCGAGCGCCATTTTCCATAATAGACAGAAAAATCTGCGCAAAAGCGCTTCTTTTCATAAGGAAAAATGCGTAAATGTCGAAATTGCCCCTTTTTGCCTTTCAAGATTTCCATCTTTGGAAGCTGCGAGATCCGAGTGAATCAGCTTTTCACCGGAATCAGTAGACCTATTTTAGAGAGCACAATCAACCCTTCTAAATGACTAGTGATCGAGTAATTGAAGGTGCTAGCAGCATGCGCGCGCTTCGGGACCGCACCGCGGTTTCCCGCCTTTATATATTAGACTAGCCTTACCCGGCTCCGCCCGGCCCATTCAAAACACTGTAATAAAGATCCCGTCCCTATCTCTTCTATACAGCCTTTCCTTGTGCCCACTTCTACACTTCAATTCCCGTTCCCTGTGTTGTTTTCGAAATCAGCATGCCCACTTACCCCCTGTGCCAAGTCGCAGCCCTTCAGCTCAAATTTTGAAAAAATCGATAAAACCGATAAATGTAATCGATAATTCTGAGAACTAATATTGTATTCGGAATCGCGGAGGACGCGCAGGAGGAACCAAACGCCTAGCCGGCAGTGTCCGCAGGAGATAATTAGAGGCGCGAGCAGTGCGCCGGAGATTTGGCCAGGATCCCAGAAAACTTGGCAGGAATTCATAAATGTTCGTAAGAAAACTTACCTCGTAACTTTGCTGGGGAAAACGCTAGAGAAATAAGTGGGGCATTTTGTAATCTGCGTTGTCAGTCGCATTTATAGGAGAAATGAAAGCGGAATTCACTTTTCATTTAAATTCAATCTTTGAATATGAATATCCCCAGAAAAACATTAGCTACGTCGAAGTACTTACACTCAAGTTTCAAGATTTTTAAGAATTATTGAATGTCAAGAAACCGAAGTCGTCAAATCGTGACGCTGAAAATCGGTAGTAGAAAAAAAAAGTAGATAAATGGCGGCAGGGCCTTTGGTTCCTCCTGCTACGCCGCCAGAAAACTTACCTCGTAACTTCGCTGGGGAAAACGCTAGAGAAATAGGTGGGGCAGTTTGGTAATCTGCGTTTTCAGCCGCATTTATAGGAGAAATGAAAGCGAAATTCACTTTTCATTTAAATTCAATCTTTGAATATGAATATCCATTAGCTACGTCGAAGTACTTACACTCAAGTTTCAAGATTTTTAAGAATTATTGAATGTCAAGAAACCGAAGTCGTCAAATCGTGACGCTGAAAATCGGTAGTAGAAAAATGAAGATTGAGATATTGTTCAGGAAATCTTGCTCGAATTTAAATCATGAACCATCTGAAAACCATAATGGTAAATCTACAACTTACAGACGTCAATGTGATGCAAATTCTCAAATTCTGAAAAATTTCCAGTTTGGTTCAAACACAATTTTGCAGTCATTTAATTTATCAGTTCAAGGTTTCATCTTGGACTGCTGACTTCAAGTTTACCTTCCCCTCCATTTTCCAACTTGAATCGTGAAAATTCTTTATGGCGAGTTTTCCGAGTGACAGTTATTTCATTGAGAGAAGCCATGAAAAGTGAATTTCAAAACTTTTACTCGTATTTCTCGTTTTTTTTCCCAAGCAGAGTTATGAAATACGTTTTCATAGGGTCTCCTTCAAGCTTCTTTGCTAAGTTGTTTTGGGTCCTTGCCAAATCCTCCCCACAGTGCTTCCGCTCTTAATTGCCTCCTGCGGATATGGCGGCAGGGCCTTTGGTTCCTCCTGCTACGCCGCCCGGAATCGCCATGCCCACTTACCCCACTGTGCTGACTCCCAGCCCCGTAGGTAAACTCTGCAATGAATCGATAAAAATCGATAGAATCGTTATCAATCGATAACGAAAAGTAGCCTATGACAGCCCCCCCCCTCCGCCCCGAAGTGTATGTGTGCCAAGTTCGGTCCAAATCGGTTCAGAAATAAAAATTTCTATTCCGCACATACGTACATACATACATACATACAGACAGACATTCAGCTTTATATATGAGAATATGCGCACCCTGCCGCAAATCAAACGCTCTTCAAAGATATGAGGATGAAAACGCTACTTTTGGGACTAATATTTATTCTCTCATCAAGCTGATCAAGGGCTCACCATGACAGCTGCTATCTGATAGAGCTTCTTAAGTTCTATCCATATATATGCAATTTACCTGGACTCTCATTTTCGGAAGATTGCAGGCCATGACATGATTTTTAGCCTAAAAATCTGCGCCAGACATCGCACTTTTTCAATGAAGTGCCTTTTTTATGCAAAATAATGGAAGTTTGTACATTTAAGTAGTCAGTAGAAAAAAAGCTTGACATATCAATCGAAGAAGCTTGGAAGGATCCTTTAATTGAGTCATATGTCTAAGGAGTTTTGGGGTACAGCAGCAGGAATTTGAATGGCGTTCAAGAAGTCTGTCCGACTTCTTCGAAGCGCGCTCGAAGGATTGGGTGCTGCAGGTTCCACGTGCAGGTTCAGCGAAACAGTTAAACCCGACAGAGAAACCCATCAGCCGCCGACTTGTCCCACGCTGCCTTTGCAAGAATTCTTTGACCGTTTATGCGCTGTATAAAAAAATGAGTGGTGAATATGACTCTAAAGATCTGATCTGATCATACCTGGCTATCGCTATTGCAACTTGACGTCATTGTCGTAGCAACCTCAGACGTAACGGTATAAGCTACAGGTCCATCAGTCTGGATTTGTATAGGATACAGCTGCATTCCCTGATCGGCTGAAATCAAGCTTTGCACATTGGTAATGCATCGGAGTTTCCTCGCATCATCAAAATGTCATAGGGTTTTGAGTTTCAAATGTTTTTTTTTCTATTGAACTCATGGTTTTGAAGGAGAAACTTCTCTTTGAAAATTTTCTTCATTCCATGTAAAAGTTCTTTGATTCTTCAGATTAGCACTCTCTGGCTGACGAATGCTTATGGCTCCCTATGGAAAGGCTTTCGGCAGATATGAAACAGTCTTTTTTTTTCTCTTCCAAAATCTGATAGAGCGAACCCGGAAACAGTTTACGCATCATATACATTGGATTCGTTGTCACTACTCCCTATTTGCCCACACCATGAATCCTGCTTCAAATGAACACCAAACTTTGGAATTAAGAGCCAATCTCATTTATCTTTTTTTCGCTTGCAGTGGTTCTTCCAGAACTATTGCTCAAACGAAAAAAAAAAAACGAGTTTAGCTTTGACTAATGCTTTAAAAACGAGGATTTGGCTATCGAACTTTATATGTTTTGTTCGCTAAAATTCTGTTTGGAGGTAGGTTGATGGGGTGTGGCACAACGAAAACCTGTAACTGCCATACCTTTTTAAAGGTTGTGCCAGACCTTATTAATTTAATTTCAAAGCAAAAGAATATCTGTGTTTTCTATATTGTCGTCACCGCTAAACTTTCTTTTCTACAAAGCAGGACTTTCACTCAAAATTAAAATTTCAGGAATTTCAGGAATTTCACTCAAACTTCCTAGAAAAAGTTAATCGTTTTTTTCTTACCTATGCAAATGGAAAATACTCAAAAAAATATTGGTCAAGGTAACATGTTAACAAGGGAATGGTCAGAAGTCGAAGGGTCAATCCAAACAAGCTCATACAGTTCGATTCAGCATAGAACGCTGATTTAGAATTGTCTTCCATATGTGCAGAGCGTCTTTGCAGGCGAAGTCATATGCAGCTTCACTGCGAGAAAATCTACACAAAAATTGCGAAATTAGGCACATTAAGGTTCTTTTAGCTCACATCTAGATGCGGGCCATATGAAGTGACCTAATTACATGTTTTGGTTCGACACTGAGTCGAGAATGGCTTCGTGTGGCCAAGTTTGCTCTTTACACGCACAATTTCTTAGCAAAATATCCTATTTTCAGGTGTATAAGCCGCAACTCTTTGCTCTAAACGTGAGCAGATCCAGGCGTGCCGCTGCGCAAATGCCTCGCTGTCTCGCATATTGCTCTCACCTATCGTGCCCCATCACAACAGGCAGTCTTTTGGCATGTGCGCCTTTAGAGCGAACAGGGTGCGGCTTATACACCTGAAAATAGGGTAATGGCCATTAACGGCTTATAGTATCATCCACAAAAGCCTCTGCAGATAAGGAAGACAGATTAGAGTAAGCGTTCTATGATGCGTTTAATGGTATGCAATTTGCTTGATTTGGTCGCTTCGATTTCTTTTGACCATTCCCTTGTAAGTCTGCGCCACTACGTGGATCGCGAGGGAAAGCAGCAAGAATAAATTAAATATCCTCAACCTCGTAATTTTCACAACAGAAATTCGAGCCTGATTGGTCATCTCTAATTTGAGATAGTGGAAGTGAAAAATGGGACGAGCGAGATTTCGGCTTGTTCTTAGTTTCATAGTTTAGAGGTTATTTCAAGTGGGCTTTTGTGCTGCCGCTTGGGCCGTGCCTTAATTATGACCCCAAAATTACTTCCCACGTATTAGGTTGGTAAGAAAGTTTTCGGACATTTTCACGCTTTGATTTTCTCGGGTTGTAATGCATCTACAAACGAGAAAATTTGTAGTTGTACTCTCACATATACACGGCTTATACCTTAGGGTCATTAGGGGCGGAGTTTGCCACTTTTTGATTATCTCATTTTTTCTGCTAATTAAGCTCAAATTCCGTATAGACTTTGCATATATGTATGTGAATTCATGTCTACTATGTATTGGACTATTTGTGAGTGTCGCAGTGTTTACGGAAGGTGGAGTTCTGAGCTCTGTCAAAATCCTGTGTCTTCGAATGTTCGCCTCTATTTTCACAGGCTTCATTAGTCATGGTTGTGATTAGTATGGTCTTGTAGTGTTTGCTTTCCTCTATCCAATGATGTATACCATGCCCTATTTAGTGCTTGCGTCGAAGCAAAATCCTTGTGTGAAGGCAATGTCCGAGAACTTTCTTACCAACCTAATAAAATCTCCATGGATCAAGTTTGCCTGGTGCTGCCTTTAATAAAGTTAATCGTGCGAAAATGATCACTTCAATTCCTGTGCCCAATTTCTGGAAACCTCGAAATTCACTAAAACTCAGCTCATGGTGTTATTTAACATGCTTGTTACGAAAACGATGTTCTTATGACTTTTATTATGCTTACTGTACTATTCGATGACAGGCCGAAACATTAAAGTGCTATTTGCATAACGGGCATATATAACATTGTTAACAAATATCATGTTATCGCTGACATCAGTATCGCCGCGATAGCGATCCCCCCCCTCACTGAACCCTCAGTAAGACCCCGCAGGTTTGGCGTGCCACACCCCAGCTTGACCCTGTTCATCAAAATGCCGGACTCTGCAGTGGGCACATCGTATAGAATGTTCGTCGTCACTAATCTGAAGTCGCAGAGTCCTCTGAGATCAGGCTGAAGCAGCATTGAGGAAGCATGGAAAGATCCTGGATGTGTGTCAAGGTATCCTGCGGAGTACCAGACATTGAGAGATTTTTTGAAACGTGCGCAGATTTGCGCATATAGCAGCGGAAGAATGCGAAGTATGGAATTGCGAATCCGAAAGTCAGTTGCTATCTTTTCAGAACCTATCGCGTTAAACAGAAAAATATTCTGCTTATCAGTTTGATTCCACTCGTTCTTGTATTTCTATTCATCCACATTCCTATTTTCGTTTTCATCATGATCATCCTCGGGTCTTAAGCGAGTTTTTGCCACGAATTATGAGTTTTCAAAGATTTCAAATGTTGAACTATCTCTTCAACCGCGTTAGGGACTTCGTGGTAAATACCCGTCACCTCGGAGTGATAGTTTGCTCTAAACAAAATCAAAAACGAATTATATTTCGCACACGTACATATAATTGACTGCACGAATCGACCGGGCTGAACGCCCGCGAGCATATCTCTTGCTGGCTAACAATGGCATTCGCGCGCATGAGTCATCATAGCGCCCGTACTCAGCAGCCGCAGTTGCAGCCGCTCGCGTGCGTTCAGCCTACAGCGACCCGGCGAGTTGGGCTGTCGACTTTACCACTGACGGTCCCAGGATTTCCGTTCGGAGAAGGGAGGGGCGCAACAGAATATATTTTGAACAAGGTGCGTGGCTAACGCAGAAAATCTTTTGGGATGCTTTCCAAATTTTTTGCGAGCCCAAAACTGAAACTCCAAAAAAAAAAAGCGCGGCGGCCTCCTTTACAAGTAAGGACAAGTTATTTGCATTTTTGTACTCATGGAAACGCATTTTTTTACTCATGGACAATTTTCAAAAATGTCGTGACCCATTCTCAGGAGAGGAGCTCCCGCCCTACTCGGGCCGCCACTGGTACATACCCTCTGTTTCAATGCGAGTGGCGGGTGAAGGGAGGAGCTTAGATCGCTACTTGATCCTGAGAAATGATTAGAGAGCACGCTCGCAGATGAGGTGCAGAACCCAGAGCCCACCCACACCCGCCACGCCCAATGACAAAGAGTATACTCTGTGTGACCACGACAGCACAAGGTGATCACACCACTACGCGCGCGCTGGCTTCCAAGCTATAATATGGCATAATATAACAAGTCATAGGCACAGCTGTTATCTTATATTTGAAGTAACTGTTTGTCTGCCTGTTTTTCTGTATGTATGCTCCAAATGAAAAATCTTTCTGACAATGAGCCGAATGAAACTTTGCGCACCTACATTTCGGGGCGGGTGCCACAGGCTACTTTTCGTCTAAATCGATATCGATTTTATCAATTTTTTCACGACATTTGAGATACGCGGCCGAAAGTCAACACAGAAAGTAGGTCATGCTGCTTATGAGTTTGAGAAGTGGGGGGGGGTAGGTAGGTATGCTAACTGCGAAATCACAATGAGGACAAGGAGCTGGCGTATAAAAGTGGGAGAGGAAAAGGAAAATGTGTGAAAGTGGGGCAGAACGGTAAATCCATCGTCCGTCGGGCCAAGCGAATGCCGGCATACCAGCTGGTTCATTGATCAAAGAACGGAAAACAATTATGAAAACCAATAAGAGCTTCAAGGCATCTTTGACTAAGGCCTCGGGCATACCTCACGCGATTTCAGTCGCCACGCGATTTGGCAATACTCCAATGTTCATAACTCATGTACGGGGTTTCTGGGGGTTTCTGAGTATACGGAAGGTGGGGCATTTTATCAACCTACGAAAGCTATACATGCTGTGCATTTGGGGTCTACCAGTATTGAATCTGAAGACATCTGGCAAATTGCCAGATCGCGTGGCGACTGAAATCGCGTGAGGTATGTCCCTTGCCCAAGAAACTAGCTCGCGCGCGTATGGTTTCGGTTGCACTTCGTAAGGCTGTAGCCATTATACGGCATGTACAAACAGAGATTTTGCCGAAGATCGTTTGAACGCACAGATGCGTTCGGCGCAAGAATTCTTTTTGGTAGCTGGCAATAATATATTCGTAATCAGCATGCTCAGTTATCCCCTGTGCCAACTTCTAGCCCGGCAACTCAAACTTTGCAGTGAAGCGATAAAATCGAATATCAATCAACAACAGGAAGTAGCCTACGACACCCGCCCCGTCTGAAGTACGCGTGCAAAGTGATTCTAGTCGGCTCAGAAATAAGAATTTGTTCGAAACACAAGTAGAGACAGCACACACAGACAGACATACAAACAGACATTTAGCTTTATTTATGCAGATGGGATTAATACCAGATATCATTTTTGTGCTCTGTATGAAGTTCTCGGCTAAGCTCTTTCACATGGCGCTAACGATTTCTTATATCTCTCGAGAAACAAGAAATTCAAGATACAGGGTTTCTTATACAAGGTTGGCCATAATTATAGCGACAAGATTTACTGCAATTAGCGTACTATTCTATCGCGCACATAGCGCGCCAGTTTTATCGATTTTTCAATCTCATCATTTTTTCTAGCTCCTGTTAAAATCTGGTTAAATTTTGTCCATTTATAGTGAAATGGTGAAGCCTTCTCCTGATCGTTCCGCTATCCTTCGTCTGCACGAAGCCGGCCGCCCACCCGCCACGATCGCTATGTAAGCACCTCGGCATCCACCGCAGCGTCGTGTATCGCACACTCCAACGTTATCGAAACCTTGGTGGACTCCAGGACCACCGAAGAAGTGGAAGACCTCGTACTACTCGCACGCCGAAGGTCGTCGAGGGGCCGTCTGAAGGTCGTCCCGGCCGTCATTCGTCGACCCCGGCGTCAAAATCGACAAAGATTACTACCTGAAGACGATTTTGGAAGATGCTCTACTCCCGTGGGCGAATTCCCACTTCACAAGCCGCCCGTGGACATTCCAGCAAAATTCGGCGCCCGCCCACAAGGCCAAGGTCGTCCAAGCGTGGTGCAAGAGCGAACTCCCCGACTTCATCCCGGCAGAAGAATGGCCGGCATCGTCACCGGATTTGAACCCACTGGACTACATCTTGTGGTCCTACCTTGGGAGCAAGGCCTGCGCCACTCCCCACCCCAATTTGGATTCTCTGAAGGCAGCGCTCATCCGAGAATGGGACGAAATTGACGAGGCACTCCTGCGTCCGGTCATCGACGCCTTTCCCAGGCGACTTTGCCCTGTCGTCCGTGCCAAAGGTGCCCGAATCGAGAAGTAACGTTGTTACTTAATAAATGTTATGTTCATGACTCGTTTGCACTTTTCCTTTCTGAGATACAAGGTGAAAACCTTGTCGCTATATTTATGGCCAACCCTGTATACAGAGACTGCAGATTATAAAACATAGCGCCATAAGATCACTTCAAAAAAGAGATACTTTGGTTGTTAGCTTGGTGAACGGTATGCCCAAAAGAATGAGAACTTTTATGAAAGTGCCACAAACTCACTCTCAATAGCCATGTAGTGCTGTTTGCTAGCTGGATCAATGTAGATCTGCATAGGTTGTTGATGTAGTGCAGTGACTGGCATGCCACCAACGCCTCCGGCTAGTACAACAGGAGCACCATGAGAAGAAGAGATGCTCTGCATTTAGCAATTCTTATGAGACTCACATTTCGCACGATCATAAAGTTTTGATAACAATCCTTACCGTTCCGGAGTGCCCATTGTTGGAAACCGTTGTAGCAGTCTAAAAAAATCTCAAAGAATGTCTGAGTGACAATAAGAGATCTCATGACAAATATGACAAAAATCTGCAAATGAAGCGGTTGAAGCAGTGGATCGGCAAAATGGATCCCGTTAAATTTTGGTAGTTTCAGGCAGTAGATCCAATCTCACACCGCGGCCCCAACCCCACCCTCCAATTCATGCGCTGAAAAATCCTAAGTCCTGAAAAAAGCACCTCAAAACCCCACCACTAACACTCACTCAATGGAAATGGGCGAGAGTGGTGGAGTTTTGAAGCTCCTTTACAGGACTAGACGCATGAATTAGGGTGGAGTTGGGGCTACGGTGTGGGAGGGGGTCTATACCTGAAACTACCAAAATCCGACAGGGGTCATTTTGCCGATCCACTGCCTTTAACAAGTCTGAAATTTATGGTACTATCGGTAGCTTTCATCTTCTTTCGCAGATAAAAGCTGTTCGTCCTGGCGCTTGAATTACGATATCAAACGGCTATTAAAGGTTTGGGGCACATAGCGCGGATGACGCCGCTACCAGAACTCAGCAGAGGTGCCGCTTTCACATGCTAGATGTCGTCTTTTACGGAAAAGAAAAAGGGAAACCGTAAAGCTTTCAGGGTGACATTCCAGCAAGCACAATTCTTACTCTTAGTAAGCCCGAGTTTCAAATTGTAACATCATTTTAGAAATAAAGTTGAACTGATACGTCACAAAACGGATAGCGAGTGAACTTTTGTGCACAAGATCCCAATCTGTTAAAACATGATCTTTACAACCAGTTTGTTTACAACGACTAAGCATGAGCCACCGAATTTTTTTCATAGCATCGCTGCAATGAGCAGAAGAAAAGTGCGAAAATCTATGAAAACACTAGCTGGCTTACCCGGCTCTGCCCGGCCCTGTCAAAACACTGTAAGGGCCGCATGCACTAACAACCCCGCTGGAGAGGGGACCGCAGCTCAGAAGAAAGCTTCATATTCTGAAGCTCCAGTTATCTGGATTTCACGCTGTCTACTCGTCCGCAAGTACTCCTACTGTCCTTCACTATGAACATATTGAACAGGAGCGAGAAGCTGTACAAGCCGCACTTTCCAGCTTTTGTATGCCCTGACGATCCCCGGCGCTTTTCTTCAAAGTCATTTTTCTTTCTTTGAAGTTAACGGAAACCTTCCAGAGTTGTACCAACTATCTAACACAACAGTGCTAAGCATTTACTGATAAGAACAAGTGATGTGTCAGAGTCATGAAATTTGCGATGAACCACAAGTCGAAAGTTATGGTTTATCGAAAAACTCGATTTTTCAAAAACTCATGTGTTCTCATCAGTAGCATGCTTAGCACTGTTGTGTTAGATACTTAGTACAACTTTGGAAGGTTTTCGTTAACTTCAAAGAAAGAAAAATGACTTTGAAGAAAAGCGCCGGGAATCGTCAGGGCATACAAAAGCTGGAAAGTGCGGCTTGTACAGCTTCTCGCTCCTGTTCAATATGTTCATAGTGAAGGATAGTAGGAGTACTTGCGGACGAGTAGATAGCGTGAAATCCAGATATCTGGAGCTTCAGAATATGAAGCATTCTTCTGAGCTGCGATCCCCTCTCCAGCGGGGTTGTTAGTGCATGCGGCCCTAATAAAGGTTCCATCCCTGTCCCTGTACAACCTTTCCCTGTGCCCACTCCTACACTTCACTTCCCGTCCCCTGTGTTGTTATCGAAATCAGCATGTCCACTTACCTCCCTGTGCCAATTCCCAGCCCTTCAGCACAAATTTCGAAAAAATCGATAAAATCGATGGAAGTAATAGGTAGGTACCAAAAATATTGTATTGGAATCGCCATGCTCACTTGCCCCCTGTGCCAACTCCCAGCCCCGTAGTTCAAACTTTGCAAAAAAATCGATAAAATCGAAAAAAGTAATAGATAATTCTGAAAACTATTAGGTTGGTGCAAAAGTAATGCGCGTTTTTCGATTCTCACTTTGACGTGCTACAACTTTCTGAAGAATCCATATTTTTCAGTGCGTTAAAAACCATCAAAGCCAACAAACCTATCTCAATACAGCGCACATCCAACTATGCTCAAATCACAAACGGGCACAAAAATGTGATTTGATAAAAATTTTGTTCTAAAACCTCGTTTTTGACTAGTCATAACTCTCTTCAATACTTGTCTATTTGAATGATATGCAGCCTATCTTGTAGAGGCAAGCCAGTAGTACAAAAAAGTTGAAAAAGGGTCCAACAAAGAAGTTCCTCGATGAGGAAAAAATTGATATAAAAAATTGTCCGCTTTTTCCAGCATTTTTTCGAATGCCTCAAAATCCCAAAATATGGTGAATTTTGATTTTTTGCCTACTGAACGGCTAAACATTTCTGCAGAAACTGCCAATAGGAGTCTCAACCCTACGCTTACAGAAATGACCAAAGCTTTGGTGATTGCCCCCTTCAAAGGAAATTTATAAGCCACAGAATGAACACAACTACCACCCATATAGAGGAGCGAAATCTCAGTCTAGGTAATTTCTAAGAAAATGGTAAAGCCTATTGTGGATAATTTCTATTACATACAATAGCTAAATTTCCAAAAGAATGCCCTTGATCGTGCCTGAATTCTGGCCAAAAAAGTGAGTGCAATGAAATTTAGGTTTCGATTGCGAAATTATGAAACTCTATAAATTTTTAACGAATAAGGCTAGAAGCTCTTTCAATCACCATTGGATAGACCAGCCATGAAAGAGGCTTCTTGAAAGTATGCTAAGTTCTTTCAAAAGAAGAAATAATGGAGAAAAAAGAAGTCCTGAAAGCTGTCCTCAAACAAAGGCTAGAAAAACGCGCATTACTTTTGCACCAACCTAATAACATTGTATTCGGAATCGCCATGCCCACTTACCCCCCTGTGCCAACTCCCAGCCCTGTAGCTCAAACTTTGCAAAAAATCGATAAAAGTAATCGATAATTCTGGAAAATAATATTGCATTCGTAATTAGCATTCTCGGTTACCCCCCCTGTGCCAACTCCAACCCCTTAGGTGAACTCAGCAAAGAAATCGATAAAAATTGATAAAATCGATATCGATCGATGATGAAAAGTAGCCTTTGACACGCTCCCTGCCCTGAAGTGTATGTGTGCCAAGTTTGGTCCAAATCGGTTTAAAAATAAAAATTTTTATTCCGCACATACGTACAGACATACAGACATACAGACAGACACACATTCAGCTTTGTATATGAGATTACGTGGATAGAAGAAGTTGCATTAGTTTTCCAATTTGCTCCTGGCGCAACCTGGGAGCATCCTGAGGTTGCGCTGGACCAAACATCACAACTTACCTTCTTCCTGGCTTATAATTTGTCAGAAACTAGTTGGCAAACCCGGCTCCGCCCGGGTCTGTCAATAACATATTTGTAATCAGCATGCTCGATTACCCCCTGTGCCAACTCCCAGCCCTGTAGCTCAAATTTTGCAAAAAAATCGATAAAATCGATATCGATCGATAACGAAAAGTAGCTTACGACACGCTCCCTGCCCCGAAGTATATGTGTGCCAAGTTTGGTCCAAATCGGTTCAGAAGTAAAAATTTCTGTTCCGCACATACGTACAGACAGACATACAGACAGACAGACATTCAGCTTTATATATAAGATTATAATACCTTTTATTCTCACATTCAAGCTCTACCTTAGTCTGGGAACAGTTCTTGCACAGCGCTCAGTTCGAGCGCTGTGCTAGAACTGTTCCCAAATTTCCGGTCCAATATGAACGCAGCCTTATCCCAAGTTCAGCCTCCTCTGCTCTGCTACGGCCCTTGATGGTATAAAAAAGCTCTTTTTAGCCTTCTGTTCATTTATCGTTAATTTTCTTAGTTTTTTTTTCACTTTTATCCACTCATCGTTGGCTGCAAGTTTTGAGCACTACCACAAAAACCACACATGGTTGTTCGTGACTTTTTGCAATGTCGAAGGGTACTTCGTTTCCATTTCTGAGCACAAAAACCCGAAATGGAAACTTACCGAATCAGTCTGCTGGCTGACTGGCTATACTGTTTCCTTCTTTGACGAAATTCTTATGTTAGGAGGTCCGAAAGTTCGCTCTGTTTTTCAGACCATGCTCAAACCACTTAGAATAAAGACAGACAAACGCTGTAAGCACTATCCTATGCAGAAATTCCTGTAAAGGTTACGTTGTTGTTCATATTCCCCTGATGTCCGCTCAATAACTGGCGGGGATCTCCAACCCTGATTTTCACCCTCTTGACTTTGGCTGTTTTTTGAAAATTCCAATTTCAACTTTTTACTAGCTTTGATAACACTTGGATAGGCTAAACAAAATGCATACAATGAACTATTTTGGCTTCATAAACTTTTTCAGTACTTAAAACAATTTTTCCAAAAGCCCTTACTTTCGAAGTCGCGAAATACAAATTGCTTCATACACTAACAAATCTTCGGTATCTGAAACGTCCAAAAACAGCTTATCACTTAAAGGCAGTGTCCGGGCAAAAACTCGATTTTGAGATTTTGTGCTTACTTGGGCCTATTCGCTACTCTGAATCCGAAAATGCACATTGGAGAGCGCGAAAACGGCGAAAAACGGCTCTAACATAGGAGGGAAATGAGCAAGTGGGCGGAGTCCTCCCCACTGCGAATTCACGTTCCCGGCTTCCGGAGAGACCTTCTTGCTTCCGGTTTAAAGTCAATCATTCGCACTTGACCGGTAGTGATTTTAGGACGGCTAGCGGAATCGAGAAAATCACTCCGGGAGCTGGGAGCGTGAAATCGCACTGGGGAAAGCCCCGCCCACCTGCTGAATTCCCTCCTGTGTTAGAGCCCTTTTTCGCCGTTTTCGTGCTTTCCAATGTGGATTTTCGGATTCAGCATGGCGAATAGGCCCGTATAAGCACAAAATCTCAAAATCGAGTTTTTGCCCGGACACTGCCTTTAAGCAGTACATCGGCAGAATGAGACCCGTGACAAAACAAGGTCACAGGGTAGGAGCAGGGTACCATGGGATG